TAATAGTTTTTCCTTTATCTAGCAACTACTCAAGTCCGGAATTTTTCCACAGCATACCTAGTTACCTCCCCTTAAACGGTGTCCGTCAGCCAAGCCATGACACATCGATTATGACTAAATAAACTACATATAAATATGATAATTTTCGGATAACCACAACAATTTTTATCCTTCACAACCATGAACACTAAATTCTTACTCTATAATTAACAATACCCTGATGATGACATTATGCTATGTCGAAAGTACTCGGAAATAAATACAATATTAGCCAAGACGGTGTTTTCTTCTCTTCTTTATTAACCGCACAAAAATGATCCTATCGAGAATAAGTAGACAGAATATATCTGAATTATTTAACGAAACTTGTTTATGTATGTGTGAGTCCCGACGGACGACCAAGTATGTATATGTGTCTGCGTACTCCATTAGGCATATGAACATACATCGATGTTTGCGTTAGTACGATGACACCACGATGACGTTACCCCCACCACTTCCATAATAACACCAATACACGCAACCTACATAAACCCAAATTTTGAAAAAATTAATCAGATTGTCTGACGATCGCAAAAGCGTGAAACCCAGGATCACAAACTCACATCTATCCAAATAAATATATATATATATATATATATATATATATATATATATATATATATATATTTGAATAAAACAGACCACTTTAAGGTTCCATATAATAAATTATTTCACCACAGCCCTTTTAAAGGGCTCTGGATCCTCAGACTTTACTTCCAAAGGTTGAAATGAAAAATGAAAAGAAATTTACACATTTTTGACGGGCCGTATTAAGCATATGTAAAGTAACGAAGTGAGGAAGTGAGGGGGAGAGAAGACATGAGTGAGTTAGATGTACCATTTCAATTCTTTATCCTTAAGCTCACTTGGTGTGGGCCAGACGACGCTTAACTTAATGTTATCCTGAGATATAGATGGGTAATACATATATATATATATATATATATATATATATATATATATATATATATATATATATCAAATAGTGAGTTGATTTTAACGATTATTTCAAGGCTATCCAAAAATTTCCCTTGTAATATTAGCAGTCAAAGACCAGGTTTAACAAACAGCATAAATCCTAGCAACCAGAATATTGTAAAATTTTAAACAACCCTTAACGCTTATGTCCCAATAAAGTAAGGTGACACCAAAGGGATACAACAGAAACGTTAACAGTAATCTGACTAAAAACGTGCGTCGTGAGTCACAAAGAAAAAGAAATCGGCGTCTTCTTGTGCCAACAGGATGTCTGTTAATTACCCAAACAATGTAAAAGTCATCAGAAAAGCAGGTGTGGGCTGTCGGCTAAACATGGCGACAATCTTTTATTTTCCTTCTGCTTTTTATTTTCCCCTTTTAGTAAATCTGATATTTATGTCATTTGTTTTTGCTTCCAATTTGCGATGTTTATCTTGACCTGTTGACCTTGGGTTTATTGCACACTTTAAAAGTATTAGATTGATCGTTGAGAGGCAGAGGACTTTTCCGCTTACTTTCAAAAGCTGAAGATATTATTTAAGCGGGACCTCAAACAACAACTTCTCGGACTTTGAAATAATGGAAAAAAAAATTAACGAGTTTTTTTATAGCCTTCAATTATTAAACGTAACATGAAAAAGATCGTGTGTCGGTGTGTGAAGAAAATTAACTTTCGCAACACTTCGTACTATTTTTTTTACTCTTTTATGTCCCCGCATCTCTTGGGTGATCATGGCTCTCCATAATTTCCGATCCTTCTGACCTCTAAGTAATAATTGTCCCTCTATTATCGCTCGAGGTTCTGCTATCCATTCATACAGGTACCTTCATGAAAACAGAACATAGTATGATGAAAAATACGCCAAACTTGACGAAAACAAAATTTTAGCTTCTAAATGTTTATGTTATTATTGAGAGGAAAGATCAAAGTATTTTTAATTATTTTAAAAAAATTTTCCTTCTTTTTAGAACATTCTAAATTTTGATTAAAAACCTTTGTTTCTCTTTGTGTCACAGGAACTAGTAAAATAACAGACATTTTTAGCGCATTTTTTCTGTATGACAGACATTAATTTTGAAAATCTTGCAAAAATAAAAATAATTGTCAGATTTTAATGAAACTTTCAGAAACTATTCATACATGATGGATCTTATTATAAATATGTTTTCTTTTTTAAAGTCATGTTTTCGTCAAGTTTGGCGTCTTTTTCGTCATCCTATACTCCTTTTTAGCGATCTCATGAAGATACCTACATTTATACAAACTCGTTAGATATGTTATTTGCTGTTTCCTTCAGCTTCTCTTACCTTCAATATGTCCCGTGAGTGTCAGATTCTCTAAGTCCACTTTTCTCGTTATATGTCACAGAAATTTCAATTGTATCTTTATGACAAGTACAAGTGTCCTTTTCTTTTTGAAATTTTCCTTAAAACGTCTCCGTTGTTGACATGTCCTCAGCATCTTTTTTTCCGAGCTAGATCTATGTTGTCTCCTTTTGAGAAATTTAAGGACTTGGTTCAGCATTCACCGCTAAATTAGAGGGCTGATATTAATCACTATTTTCGTTGCCGCTACCGAAATCGTTCTGTTTCTTAATAAACTTGAATCTATCTCTATTCTTTGGATTTCTGTGTCAGATTTTCTGTCGACTGTTGCGTATGTTTTTTTTCTTTCTATGCCATGTCCTTTAAGGACGTAGGCGATCATAGCTCTTTACCTCCCTCCATCCCTTGCAATTCTCAACAAGTTCCTTCTCTCTGCTTCCTCCCCCAGACCACGTTCTGTCATCCACTTGCTTAAGGCCGCCAGATATGTCATGCGTTGTTTTCCCTTGTCTCTCTTTCCCTCTATTCGACCCGTGAAGAAATACAAAAATTGTACTCAGAAGTTCTTTTCTCTCATTTTATGTGTTATGTGGTTTTCAGGACGTAGGCGATCATGGCTCTCCACCTCCCTCCATCCTTGCAGCTCCCAACAAGTTCCTTCTCTCTGCTTCCTCTCCCAGACTACGTTTTGTCACCCACTTGCTTAAGGCCTCTAGGGATATCATGCGTTGTTTTCCCTCGTCTCTCTTTCCCTCTATTCAACTCGTGAGTATCAGATTCTCCAGGCTTTTCTTCCTTATCATGTGTCCGAGAAACTTTAGCTGCCTCTTCCTGATGATAAGCATAAGCCTCCTCCTTGTTTGTCTCTCTTTCCCTCTATTCGACCCATGACTATCAGATTCTCCAGGTCCTTCTTCCTTATTATGTGTCCCAGAAACTTCAGCTGCCTCTTTCCGATGATAAACATAAGCCTCCTCCTTGTTTGCATCATCTCTAAGACCTCATCGTTGCTCACACGCTACATTTCTGTCATCTCTTGATTTCTCAGTTTCCAATTCGTATACCGCATCTTGGGCTGTCTCTATTGCTGACATGTATTCCGTCTTCTTTTTATTAATTTCTAGTCCTTTCTTCTCACTTTCCTTCACTACATTGTCTAAGAGTTCCCAAAGGATTTGTCTGTATCTGCAGTCAACATGGTGCCCTTATCGTATCGTATATTAAGATTGTGCCCACCAAACATACAACCTGGTAGGACTATCCGTTGTCTTAGGCGAGCCTCGCTGTAATAGTTAAATTATTTCGGTGAGAAGACGCATTCTTGTCTTACGATCATTTATATTTTTGTATAATGCACCATTCATTCAGTTTCTTTCCACTAGCCGCTGCTTTGTGGAACTGACGCCCAAAAAGGATGCTTTATTGTATACTACAATCTTAAGTCTAGGGTCAACCGTTATCTTCCCCACATATCAACATAATCTGAGCTTTTTACTCTGTAACGCTCTACCTCAAGTGGCTTTCAAGCCTTGTAGAAGGTGAACATCACCGTAAATAATATCTATCCGTACGACTCCTTCTGTCATGCTTTATCTTTGCAAGTCAAATCAGAAACAAAATAAAATAAAATAATCCTGCCATATTTGGATTAGAACGGCTCAATCTACCCTTGACAACCTTGACGGATTTCTATTTTTTCTCCATATGTCATTCTCTGGTGAAGCTTTAATAAAAGCGAAACATTAGATGGATAAAAGTTTCCTATTTGTTCTTTATCTCACACACACACATATATACATATATGTATATGTATATGTATGTATGTACAAGATGGAATGTGATATAAAAATTGTTGGCTTAGAGGTTTAATAGCGATGTTCATAACCACTGATCTGTGTTGGTTTAATGCTGAAGAGGTTTTGGCAAGTGTCCTTATCTTCCCTAACTTAGCGCGAAGCCCACACAGAAATTCAATCATTGTATGTGAACAGAACCGACAAATGAGAGTTGGGAATCCAAATGGAAAGGAATTTTCATTTTTCACCGCGCATATTTTAGATGGGGGAATCTTCTTAATCTTCTTTTAATCATTTCTCTCGAGGTTGTTCTAGCCAGTTATCCGCTTGTGATTTAAACATTTTTTATTCAGTTCACTTCTATCTATCTATCTCATTTTTCCCATATCTATCTATCTATCTATCTATCTATCTCATTTTTCCCATATCTATCTATCTATCTATCTATCTATCTATCTCTCTCATTTTTCCCATATCTATCTATCTATCTATCTCTCTCATTTTTCCCATATCTATCTATCTCATTTTTCCCATATCTATCTATCTATCTATCTATCTCATTTTTCCCATATCTATCTATCTATCTATCTATCTATTTCTGTCCGTTTATCTGTTTTATGCCATTTTGCTGGTATCTATCTATCTATCTATCTATCTATCTATCTGTATACTAATATATTTCTGTTTATTGCTATTTTAATTTCTGTATATCTATATCTTTCTGTTATATCTGTCAATTTGTTGATTTCCATCTATCTATCTATCTGATTTTCTGTATATATATATATATATGTCTGTCGTTCTATCCATCTATCTATCTATTTCTGTCTGTTTATCTGTTTATGTCATTTTGCTGGTATGCATGTATGTATGTATGTATGTATGTATCTATCTATCTATCTATCTATCTATCTATCTATCTATCTATCTGTGATTGATTCTGAATGACGTCTTGCTTTGTAAACGTCAATTTTACGCTGGTTGCACAAATGCTAACTTTTAATAATTTTGCAGTTGAATTTTCATTTGTATCGGTTCATCTGTAGGTATTTAGTCTTCCTCAGTCACTTCTATTTGATTTCTATTTATCTTTCTTTACAATGGCTTTCGTGTGTGTGTGTGACCACGATGAAACAGAAAAGATTTTCTCTCTAATGTTCATGCTTCTCGTTTGGATTCTTATAGTATTCTTATTATGTCTTGTCGGTCGCTAGACATCGATTTATGTTTCTTTTTTGTGATCTTATTAAAGTGGCCCACTTCTAAATAGGAAGTAAAAAAGCAAAGATGAAACCGTAGAAATTACACGAACGGATGAGTTTAACAAAACGGAAGTCAACTATTTAGAATTCACTGCTTAGCATTCATATTATAATAGTTGGGTAAAGTTTTTAGCATTTAATAACCCTAGAAATTTTTGTAATAGTTGTTTTATATATACGACTTGATTGGGAAGCTCGAGGTGGTGTAATGGTTAGCGAGCTTGTCTCGCTAGGATAATTACGACTGACTAGTGCGTTCGATCCTCAGTGGGTGCTCCGTACTTTCGGCCTTGTGCCACATCTGAGCTACGCTTGGAAAATCACTATATTTGATTGATTCATTTATTTACGGCTTATCAACCCTTTGCAGGTTATTTAAAGCCAGAATATCGTTTTTTTATTATAATAAGATTTTTATTGGAGTTAATAATTGTTTAGTGATACAAGTTTTATTAATTAACCCATGGCTTAGGGGAGAAGAGGTTTATTCATACCTTTTCCGCTTTTATTAAATGTTGGCCTTTTCTTTTTATTAATGTTTCCATTATTTTTAACCTTTTTTTTTTTTTACATGTAAATGAGGCTATTATACTTTTATTATCAATATGAATTTATGTGTATATATATTAAATATCAATATAAACACACACACAAAATGTATTTTTTTTTATTATTATTGGATACTTTCGCATCCCTAAACAAATCCCAAATAAAACTGCTTGTAATTCCCACAAATATTATGACTAAAACTGGAGACCCTTTGTAGTTACTTTACAAATGTATTCGGGAAGTGACTTAACTAGTCCTAAACGTTTGATTTGCCACTTGGTAAGTATTAAGGATAATTTATTTGCAGTATATTCAAATATCTCTTGGGAGAAATGAGGGTTAAGAGAAACAGCCTGTCGCGCTTTGTTGTAAGCTGTCTTTCTTCCGAAATGATTAATAACACCTTTTGTGTCTGCAGTTCTATAAAGTCATAAATAAGTTAATTTTAAGATGGAAGACGTGTGTTGCGGCACATTTAGTTTCGAAAGAGAAAGTACGTCTTTAGATAAATAACGGATTCACGTCATCAACCCTTTATGCAAAAAGAGAAAAATGAAAGAAAACAAAACTCCGAAACATTATAAACTATAGTTTGAAATAAAATATTAAAGACACATAGAAGTTCAGTATTCGATCCTCACTGAGTACCCCATATGTTCAGCCTTGTGCCACATTTAAGCAACGCTTAGAAAATCATTTTGGGCACCTCTCGACTTGGCGTAATGTTTAGCAAGCTTGCCTCATTAGAACAACTGAGTAGTAAATGCAATCCTTACTGGATGTCTCATACATTCGGCCTTGTGCCACATTTAAATTATGCTTAGAAAATCCCTATGGAGGTTCAGTATTTAAATTTTGAAATTTGATTGATTTGGTATTTGATGTCTTTGTTTAACGACATATCAACATTTCTATGGGTTATTCAATGGCGAAATCTAAATATGAAAATTCAAATTTTATACTCAATTCAAGAGAATGACATTATTTCATAATTAAATTATAATTACTCAGAAGCAAATTTTTAACAAATAATTTTACAAAATCAAACGAGAAGTGAAAAATTGTTTCTCTTTACAAAAATACGATTAATCATCGCCATTTTTTTAATTTATTTTTTTTATTCCTTTTGACAATGTATGACATTACTTCACATTTTACTATAAAAATGCATTGTTCATTTTTTTTTTTTATGTGAAAATGATATTTAGCTTATAGGCGGGGAAAAAGGGAGAGATGGATTTACCTTTCCCAAGAGAATTAGAATGAAAATAAACGCAAAAGTTTAGGCGTGAATTTGAAGTTGGCTCAATAATTCCACTATCGATGAAACAAAAAAGAGTTTCTCTCTAATGTTCATGATTCTAGTTTGGATTCTTATAGTATTCTTATTATATCTTGCCGGTCGCTACAGATCGATTTAGACTAGTTTTAGTCATAATATTTGTGGGAATTACAAGCAGTTTTATTTGTGATTTGTTTAGGGGTGCGAAAGTATCCAATAATTCTGATAAAGTACATTTTGTGTGTGTATATATTGATATTTAATATATATACACATAAATTCATATTGATAATAAAAATATCAGCCTCATTTACGTGTAAAAAAAGGTTAAAAATAATGGAAACATTATTAATAAAAAGAAAAAGCCAACATTTAATAAAAATGGAAAAGGTATGAATAAACTTCTTCTCCCCTAACAGTTACATTAGTTTCCCATCCATAATGAAAGGATTACAAGTAACGTTTGCTGAATTTAAATAACACTTTTTTTTTATATTTTTCAGGAGTCATTCTATGTTAGTGTTAATATTACACAGGGAGATCTCCAGTTACAATTAGTGTTGTGTTGAGGATGATTTCAATTGTCGCCGTTGGCATATTTTGATTCAAATCCCGGTACTAATTCGGTAGCCGTCACCTCGTGGAAGGCAAGATGATTAAATGTCAAATCTAAATTTTTTGTTTATTTAAAATACGACATTTATTATGAAATATATTCAGTTTAAATACAGGAGTCATAAAATACAGGAGTCATAAATATAGGAGTCATAAAATACAGGAGTCATAAATATAGGAGTCATAAATACAGGAGTCATATATACAGGAGTCATAAAATACAGGAGTCATAAATACAGGAGTCATAAAATGACTTCAAAGTGCTGCATTTTTCAGCTTATACTCTTTTATTGTTATCCAGAATTGATGGCAATAGAATGAGAAATTAGCAACAGTTGTTCATTTCACCTTCATTAATATCTATGCACGTTTTTTTTTTATTTCAAAGCCAAACACACACGTAAACAAATAGACAGTTGGACGTATACGCGCATGAACATTAAATACCACACGCAAAATATACATTATGCCCGGCGTCTCTCGTTGTGTAAGCGCATCCATCAGCTAGAGAGGCTAGACAAACCCTGTCGCAGATACTTGATCACGCAAATTGGTGCTTGTTGAACACCCGCAGGGTCCAACTCTGTTTTATGCTGCAACAATACTGTGAGGACATTAGTTATAGTTTTTGCGCGAGATGGTATAAACGGTCATGATCAGCAATTTGAGCAACGCCACTACGCCCATACCCACGGGCAGGCTCACTGGCCCAAACCCACGAGTAGGGTCACTTGATGGATGTTTCATCTACCCAATTTCACTGACAAGGCTTAGCCCAATTCTTGGTGTAGTTTTTAGGCACTTACCACAGGCTCCGCCGGCTGAGATCACCGTCCCAAACCGATAATTCTCTTTTCTAGGCATAATATCCTTCCTCACATATTGAAGTGATAGAGATGTGCTTATACATAAACATTCCGAGAATACCATGGAAGCATCATATGAGCAATGAAGAAGTTTTAAGTAAAATGGAAACTTAAATGACGCTTATAATTAGAAACAGGAAGAGACAGTTGAAATTTCTGGAACACATAAAGAGGAAAGAGAGCTTGGAGAATTTGACACTCACAGGACATAATGAAGGCAAGAGAGGCATACGGGGTCAAAAGTAGTCTACCTATTTAGCTAGCGCAAATGGATTGTAGAACAGTGATTGTGGGGCATAGTCAGAAGACAAACATTTCTTGGAGCTACGAAGTATAGGAAGACGTGGAGACCCATATCATCCAAGTCCTGAAAGGATGCGGCACATAGAAGTTTTTGTTAAAGTTACATCTGCCGATAATAAATTATGGTAAAAACTCCTCTTGTAAGAAACATATCGCTATACAAGTGAAATAAATCTAGTGAGGACTTTATTGCACATCCTGATGCGGCATTCACCCTGGGCGGATTGAGCCGGCTTCTTCCTGTTGTGAGAAGAAGATTCTTGGGATAAAATGCAGAAGTAGGGTACCCAGGCCTACTCGGATAACGTTCTTGCTTGCCGCGGGGTACCCACAAACGCAGAGACAGGAACGACCAGAAGCCGCCGGTTGCCGATGCAGACGCTCCTTGGATTTTCACCAGAGCCCTTATTAGCCGGCGTGTTACACCCCCCACCGACCTGTCAGACCTGTCCCAAGCGGTCCCCCCGTAAGGGTGGCCTACCAGGAACGAATCTATTACTGTTCCGGACGGCATATATCCCTAGTACTCTGAATCTACTACCGTTTACATATATTTTATCGAATGCCTTGTTAAAAACAAAAAATAAAATAAAATAAAAGACGATGGACATAAAAGCAAGACCAATCCAAACAGATAACTGAATTAAATATTCTGACCCGGGGTGGTAGCACCTGTTAGGGTCCCAGCTGTCAGGGATACAGTTTTGAAACAGTGAACTCCCCAGACTATACCATGCGTCCTGGGTAAAATGACGATAAATCTTCAATCTCCGCAATCCATTACTCCATCATGGTAAAAATGCATCCTGATTCTTGCTCGTCCATGGGTATGACGCATTTCTTGTTCCAGCTACATCCGCGTTTCCTGGGTATGGCGATAAACTGCATCCGCGTCCTGGGTATACGCCGATAAAAATTTGCATCCGGGATATATCCGGTACAAGTGAAGGCGATAATATAAGTCCAACACGAAGTCTTCCTTTCGAGTTATCCCCTTGGCCGTTTTGAAAAATAAGGTTTCCCACAAAAATGACTATACGTTTTGGGAAAACC